GAATGGCCCGAGGTAAATTCTCGACAATTTGTCATTTTTGGGAGAACTATTTCTTTAATAACAATCAAAGCAAGCATTATATATATATATATATATATATATACAGTAGTCAACATTTGAAGTGGATCAAAACCTTTCATCAAAGTTGTCCTAAAACCAAAACAATACCTGTTCTTGACTTAGGACAACTCTGATGAACTTTTTTGATCCACTTCAGATGTTGACTACTGTACATACTTTTCAAAATGAAAGCTAAAAAGTAATGTGACACTTTAATAGTTCTCAAACATTAGTGGCTCATGTTCTAGTTAATGTGATGAACTACACCTGTGGTTATGCTGCTCGGAAAAACACCTCGACACTTATGCACTTATGCTTGATTAAAAGTCAAGTTGCATGGGAAAATTGAAGGAAGTGAAGTGAAAACCACCAGGAAACATGGGGTTAAATGTATTGTTCAATAACGTCTGACCAAAATAATATGCAAAAGTAATATTACATAAAGCCCCAGAGTTGCTTCAATAATTCCTTAGAAAAAAAAGTGACATCCTGTATAATGTGGCTCTTTGATCCCGACCTAATCCTCCTCCGACACACAGGCGTCCTGGCGAGAGGGTAAAAATCTGCTTATATAACTTGACTTGTAGGGAAATGGCATGCTTGGAGGATTCCTGTGTCCGTTTAGGATTCTGCTAATGCTGCTGACTGTCAGTGAGTGCAGTTAAACTGCCGACAGAGCTGTAATCACATGCTGCTGCGAGACATTTCCACAGAGGGGTTGAGCTCAGGTCTCAGGAGTGGGTTACAGGTTAAGCGTGTGACCGGGCAGGACATGTTTCTGGAAGAGTACGAGCACTTGGCCAAGTCACACATTAGAGACGTTGACTGGGAAACTGTACAGGGACTGTATACGCCAATAACAAAAGAAAATTATGGAACAAGTGATTATGGAAGGTGCAGACTATAAGCAGAAACAATGAATTCATTCTCTTTTCATAATTTGGCTGGAGAGCAAAAACACACACATTTATTCTGTATAAACACATAATATGTATAAACATAATATAATTTTACTAAATTATGAACTGTGATGTTAGAGAAACATATCAAAATTAGCAGTATGCATCGAAAACTTTACAAAAATAAAATAAGGACCACAACAGGAAGTAAACGAGACATTAATAGTGAAGAAGAGGTCCTTACGTCCTACTGTTCGTTATGCAGATAATGTTGAATTTAATGTTTAAAGGGGTCATATGATGTTGCTAAAAAGAACATTATTTTGTGTATTTGGTGTAATGAAATGTGTTTATGCGGTTTAAAGTTCAAAAAACACGTTATTTTCCACATACTGTACATTATCTTGAAATCGCATCATATGACCCCTTTAAATAATGAAAACGCTATCAATTTGATTATGATGATGATATGAGCTCATTGTTTGCATCAAATTGCAGTAATTCCTCAAAATTAGAAATTGACTAAATTGAACTAAAAGTAAAAAATGTGCTCAGTAATTTTGATGTAATTAATAGAAATACTGATATAGAAAATTATATAAAATACACAATTTAATATAAAGCAGCTTAACCAAACGATCCAAATGGTTGAGTATTTGACAGCTTTTGTAAGTTGTTGACAGCTTTGCAGACTCAGGATTATAGTTAATCTTTTATCAGTGACAGGAAGCATGAGGATCTATAGAAACTACACAACAGAAATAGTTTGCACTGCTCATTTCTCCATCTTTTAGTCTGTGCTATGTTGTTTTCTGTACTAAATTGTACAAGTTTTAATGCAGTCAATTTTACTATTTTTTTTCCCACTAACCCAAAGATGTCAAGATACGGTCCAAATCCATTTTTAAACTTTTAAGGGTATGATTTTCCCACTGAACTGTACTCGACCTGACAGACCCATGCACTAAAATGACCTAAAATTATTTATATTTTTGTTTTAACTTTTTGTTGTTGCTGTTATTTTATTATTGCATTCCGATGTAAAAAACAATAAAAGTGAACCTGTTTACAAAATTATTTAAAATGGTAAAAAATGTATTTAAAATTTTCAAAAATGTATTTTTTTTTATAAATTGAATACATTTTAATATAAGTTTGTTGTATATAATGCAACATTTATTTTTAGGCCATGGCCCTCGATCATGGCCCTTTGTATTAAAAATCTGGACACCTCAATCTTAAAGGGGTCATATGATGCGATTTCAATTTTTCCTTTCCTAAATTAATGAAATCTTATTAAGCCTTGGAAATTTCTACAGAAGTTGGTCTTTGTCAGTGCAATGTAAAATAAATAAAAAAAAGTCATGGAACTTAATTATTCAAAGGTTATAGAAACACATTGTTTTAATCTCTTATATTCTTGTAATTTACACTACTTTGTTCTCAATAGTTGACTATCATCCTCAAACAGGACAATGCTGTTGGCGTCAATGTCAGAACACAAAAAGGAGCCTGAGATGCTCCTGGAATATTTAGTTACTGTCACATCAGGACAGTCACTAGATACTTACACTGCTGGCTAAATTTGTAGATAATGTTATATTCTCAGATTCATGATCTGTTTTCTTTGTTTCTAATATAAGAGGCTTGGTAACACAAGAATAGATTATCAATGTTACTTTTCGTTTTTAGCTCATCTTTAGCAATTCATATTATTGTTGCCGTTAAACAATAATATGACTATCCAGCTATGAAAACAACCCATGCAGTAACATTACTTAAGTTGAATGATTCTGTTGAATTTATTATAATAAAGTTTCAAATTATACATTTATTACTAAATTAAATATTATTATTACAAGTATTTATTAGAATTATTGGTAAGACTATATTTTTAAGGTGTCCTTGTTACATTTCCTTACTATGATAATAACAATAAATTATGCATAATTACATGCAAGTAACCCTAATCCTAACCCTAACCATATAAGTATATTAATATTATTCAGTACATAAATGTATAATTACACTGTGACACCTAAAAATAAAGTGTAACCAAACGATTTATTATATTTATAAATTATACATTTATTCAGATAAAATCATATCATTGGAATGTTTATAAATTATACATTTATTATAAATGTATTATTCAATTTCTTGTAGTTTATTAGAATTATTCGTCATTTTTATAAATGATACATGTATAGTAATAAATTCAACAGAATCGATCAGCTAAATTCATGTCACTGTGTTGTTCCCATAGCTGCATAACAATTTATTGCATTTTTAATATTCATATATGCAGCCAGGCAGATTAGCCTAGATGATCCTGCAATTTGACATTAACAAATTAATTTTTGCTAATCTGCTGCATGAAAACAGAAAGGGTATTGAAAATGTATTTTTTATTCCTTGGAACCATCAACACATAATTTAATTAAGAATTAGGGTATAAATAACTTACGTTTAAAATTAAACCCAAATCAAATTAAACTACAAATGTGATCTTGTTTGTTGGATATATTTACATTCTGCTTCTGTTGCTCTTCCTGTTTATCCCATGATGCCCTCTGGTGGATATATGATGCTAGAGGCACAAATAACAAGTAATGAAATGCATACATAAAATTGAATATAAATAGCAATTTTATTGATTGATTGACAATCAAGAAAAATGTCAGATGTTAAGGGTTTGTGAAAGTAACATTCTAAAAGTATCTCACTCTTACATGCCATTTTTGTTACATGTATTCATTCAAAATAAAAAAATAGAACAGCTTTCAATCAGGAAGAACAAAATAATGAGAACAAACGTGAAAGGGAAGGAAATGAACAACGTTATCACACATGACTTCCTCTCATCCAATTAGCCTGGCAGGAGAAGACAGAACATACATAGATGAACACATCCACAGCTCACCGCTCTCGATCCCAGCTACTGTGTGCTATGATTATACCGGAGTCTGAACCATCTTTATCTAACTTGCATTGCAGGAAAAACAAAATTACTGATTGATAGAACTGCGCATTGTAGTTGGGAATACAGAACAAAGCATATTACTGCAAAGCATCTGTGGGAATATTGAGCTGCTACAGGGGTCAATGTGCACAAACATGATCTGAATGGAAGGAGGAAACCAACCTCAGCATAAATGTCAGTATCACAATTTAACACCACACTTAGATAAGCCACTAGCAAGTGTTGTGGTCTCATAAAGTAAGAAACTCAACTCTTTGGCCACAGTCACCAAAGGTATGTCTTAAGAATACAGAAAAGCATGAGGAAAAAAATAACTGTCAAGTCTGATGGATGTATTTAGCTCTGGGGTTGCAGACAGTAGTACAGGTCATTCTCAGCTGTTAAGGGAAAGAATGTGTTCTGAAAGTTATGTTTCACATCATAAATAATGAAAAACATTGATCTAAAACAAAGACCATTAAACTTAACCTCAGAAGATTCAAGTTTTGAATGTTTCACTCAGTCTTCAAACTAACTGAAATATTACTGTACATGCAGTGTGACTAGTGAATATGCCTAAATTGAAGAAAGCAAACCTAAACTCAATGAAAATCTGTGAAAATTAAGCAAATGTTAGCCATTGTTCATAGATTCAGCCCCTTCACTCAGAAATGCACAGCTGTGGGAAGAAATGAGCAAAGACAGTGTTCTGTGTTCAAGCTTCTTGGTGGAAAACTTAGAAATGTTTGGGAGGATGAAGTCCACACTGTCATCCACCAGGCTGCTGAAGATACTCCAATCTATGAAGTGAAACCAGAGCAGAGCAAAGGCAGATCAAGAGTGTTGCATCGTAATAATCTTCTCCCCTGTCATCACTTACCTCAGGTTACCACACCGACTCAAAATACCACACTAAAGCAAAAACACCAACAGAAAAGCACAGCTTTACCTGCTGAGAGAAGGGGGGAACATGAGTCAGAGGATGACAGTGAAAGTGATGATGAGTACTATGTGCAAGTTGGACCCTACCAGTTTAGAACACAGCCAAATAGTCCTAATCAGATGGAAAAGGAAATCACCACACCTGTTACCTACTGGTGAGAAATCATCAGCTCACTCAGAACACCACTTACCTGAATGACACTCACCTAGACAACACTTACCTGTTGAAGAACGACAATTACCAGATCAACCTCTACCAGAACATCACTTACCTGCACTGAGAAATCCTGCAGAGGAACCATCTAGAGACCGACAACAACGACCACCAAAGAGGTTCACATACAGTATGAAAACTTAGGAACTCCTACATGCTACAGTGTGCAAAATGCAAGAATTACTTTAAAGGGGTCATATGATGTTGCTAAAAAGAACATTATTTTGTGTATTTGGTGTAATGAAATGTGTTTCAGGCCCCGCCAACAACCGCTGATGTACTGTCCAGTATTAGCATATTTTTACCTTCAGCCAGTTGTACAAAGTCCATAATTTTCTCCACGCTCAAGCAGCTGTATAGTCAATGTCTTGCAATGCAGGTGTTTTGCAGTTTTGTGATGTAGAAGAACATAATAATCTTAATTTTCTCCCAACATCAGAGCAACTGAGGACGCGGTGCATTAGTTTTGTTTTTAATGGTAATGCGCCACTGAATACACCTAAATTCGTTTGTCTGCGCAACTAATTTTACTTCAGACTGCTTCCTGTATGAGGGACAATTCAAGGCATGTTTTGTTAAAAAGTTAAAACTCAAGGATAGATCAGTACCCATTGTTCGTGATTCAGCTGCACTTCCAGAAGAAGTAAGTCTCTCACTTTATATTTTTTTATGATTATTTGCAAATCGCCTTTGCTCTTCCATGGAAGAAAGAGGCGGGTGAGCAGAGCTCATTAGCATTTAAAGGGACA